GGTGGGAGGGGGAGGGGGCAGAATGCATCCTTTTATCCAAAGCCTTCTCAGCTTTGGTGAGAAGGTCTGGGTATGAGAATGAACAGAATGGTTAAGAACAATAATTTGAACTAATTTTAATCTGCAGCTGGACTGCTAGTCTAGATGTCTCTGGTTTTTGTACATTTTATAAATCGGGGTTTATACTATAATATAATATACGGTCTTTGGTAACTATTACTGCTTTTCTAAGTCCTAAAAATATAATGATTTTCGTCATGTAGTAATAGGGCAAAGACGTCATAATAAAATAAGGTAATCATTCATGAGAATATAGATATTTTTGTGTTTTAACTTTGTTCGGCAGTCCTTCGTTATGCTACGGCTCAAGTATTACCGCTTTCACCGGGTATTAATCTATTTTGCTATGCTAAAATTGTAAGATATCCTTTGGGCACGACTGTAAAACTTTGTAATTAACTTTAATTGAAAGTTAATAAATGGTGTGCAAAATATATCTCTGTCGTACATACAACTATTCCGAGGTTTAGGAAAAAACTGGGTCGAGTTGCCATTACGGGACTGTTTTGATGACTCATTTTCAAACATTCCCACAATGCATTGCAATGCCAACTCGACCAAGTTTTTTTCTAAACCTCGTAATGTCTATTCAGTTCCAAACCCCGAAAATTCATACGAAACTAACATTTATTGTAGATTCTGCGTTAGCAAGTCGACAACCAATCATTTTAGATTGCGATTCAAGAACGTATTCAGATTCAAATTTCATGGCTTTGGGTTTTGAGCCAAAACAAAGAAGGCAAAACGGCAAAGCGCCAGCGAGCATGACAACACTGCCAAATGTGAAGAATGTACGAGTATAGGAACCAAAATAATCGGCGATAAAACCTGCAGGAAAAAAAGGAAAATTTTTCAACAATTTGCAGAAACAAATTTTATATTGGATACTGAAGACGCACTTTCGAAGAGGTTCAGGAGGGAAGAAAAGTTTGAAATTACTAAGTGGGAGAGAGGTGCCCGGACAATAATCCATCATCATCGCGCAAAAACAAACAAATGAGTTGTGGTACCGTAGTAGTGAGTAAAATGTCAAAACTTATGTGGGAGCGCGGAAGAATGTATGAAAGTAAACCTCCTTCCCTCGCTCCTTCTCTCTCTCCCTCGCTCTCTCCCTCGCTCTCTCCCTTGCTCTCTCTCTCCCACCCTATTTCTATGCCTCTTTCCTTCCTCCATCCCCCTCGCTCTCTCCCTCGCTCTCTCCCTCAATCTCCACTCCCTCCTTCCCACACAAGACCTACCTGCCAAGGGTGGTCCCAGGAATAAAGCTACTGCTGAAAAGACATAACCAGTTGTCCAACCCACAGACGCCTTCTTGAGATCAGTAAAGCAGGTTATATAAAACACGGCCTGCGAAACCGCGAAAGCTYCATTGGCAAATCCATAGGATATTGCAAAGATGATAAAATGGGTGTAGATTGTGGCCTGGGTGAATAACACCAGTGAAAAACCAATGAGAAAACTAGATAACTGGAGCCCTTGCATTGGAGTAAGCCATTTTCTTTCGATGATTTTTCCGATAACAATCCGCGAGAAGGTRGAGAGAATGCCGATGTAGATGAAAAGTAAAGATGACTTGGAGGCTGATATCTGTCTGTCCTTTGCAAATGTCACCTGAAAAGGATCAATGTTAAACGTTAGATTATTTCCTTCCTTCCTTCGTTCAGGACTGCCTTCTTTCGTTCCTGTTTCGATTCCTTCCGTTTTCCTTTCTTCCTTTTATTATACCTTCCTTTCGTCCTTTGTTCCCTCATTCTCCCCCTCCCTTCCTCCCACATATATTCTCATTTTGATGGGATTCCTGTGGTATTGGGTATAGCGCGGGCGCATCAGAAAGGTAGCCCATGGAACACTACACCACAAACATAAATAAATACACCACGAACACTTTATTTTACCCCGTTATTCACTAAAAGCTGAATAAAAGTTGCTAGAATACTAACCAGGTGAATCATTGGAACATAAAGACCAAAGAAGGTAAGAAAAATTGATATCGTCCCAACAGTATACTTTGAGTTTCTCCACAATGAACAGCACATTCTCACATGCGATTCATCACTCTCTTGTTCCTTCACGTTAGTACTTTGTTCTTTAATATTATYTTCTACGTTTGGGTYAAAGAAAATACACAGTAAACCAGCTAAAAGCATAGCCCCTGCCATTACACGGAGGGCACCTCGCCAGCCAAGACTATCGACAAGAACTTGCAGTATTGGACCGATGATAAGAACGCCTATACTTGCACCAGAAGTCRTAACRCCYASCGCCATTGGAATTTTCTTTTGGAAATATTTTTTAATGGAAAGAGTTTGTGAGTTGATAAGACAGCWTCCAAAAAWRCCAAACGAAACGCCATAGGATATGTAAAGAATCCAAAAATCTGATGCAAAGGAGCTTATGACGATGGCTATAGCTGAACATATCCCGCCAAACATCCCTACTGGACGTTCTCCGAACCACGAGATGACCTTTATGGCTACTGGACCCAGGAGAAAGGAAAAACCAATGGCCAAGGAGCCAATCCAAGCTGAGTAAGGCAATAGAAACTCAGTCAGGGTAAATGGGTTAGCGGCTTTATTCATTCATTCATTCATTCATTCATTCACTCACTCCCTCCCTCCCTCCCTCCCCACGTGCAAGCAAACCCTCCCATCCTCTGTCAATCCCTCCCTCTCTGCCCCTCTCCATGTACTTGCTAATCCTCCCTCTGTCCCTTGTCCTCCCTTCTTCTGTCCCTCCCACCCTTTCTCTCTTTCTTCCTACACATGCCTGCTTATATTTTCCAATCTTAAAGAAGGTTAATTTAAGGTGATGGGGGGGGGGGGGGGGGGTAAAAGAAGATGTTGAATTTCAAAATTATTTAACATTTAGGGGCCCTGTTAACATCTTCATGCCACTCATTATATCAATTAGCCTTCCCTTGTGGACTCGCCACTTTTCAGGGTTTTCTGGTCCTTGAGAGTAGCTTTCTTTACTTACCAGTTTCACCTCTGCTTCTCTTRAACTGTTCACTTATTACAGGCAAAAGAATACCAAAGCTTAGCAGCAAACCAAATAAGATCAAATTATTGTAAAAGACCACGAAACATATCAACCAAGAATATGGGCTGTCTCTTTTATAAGGTGAGCCTTTGTCTTTACACAATACCATCTTGATTTCTAGGGTGGATAAAATGTGAATTAATTACAAGTTTTTGTTATTGTTTTATGTTACTGCGTAGATGACAGTGCAACTACTGTAACCGGGGCCACTTAGGGAAGGACCATTCAATTTTTGTGGGGGGGTTGGGCAAAAACCCCAAAAAAATTCGAGCACAGCTTTAAAGAGTGGAAAAAAAACGTGCATAAGAAAAGTTCCAGAAAAAAATTCCAAATTTCAAAAATCTAATGGTTCGTYCATTAGACCAGTTAGACAAGAGAATTAAAATAATGCTTTGGGTAGAGGAGCAAACCAAAAACCTAGACTGCACAAGAATGGTAATCAATCCAACTAGATAGCCATTGTCATTTTCTCATGATATTTTGAGAGGCTATTGTTTTCTGCTGCTTTCTGATTGGCTCCACTACCCAAAGCTGGAACGCATTATATTTATTCTACAATTTAATTGGTTCTCACTGTCTAGGTGGCCCCAGTTATAGTAATTGCACTGTAAGCATAATAACAGAAAAAAATTAAAAATGGATGAAGGGAAACCTGTAGAAAAATCCTTGAATAAAGGGAGAGACCCTTATAATTATCGTAATCCTAAATGAAGGTGTATTACTTAATAGGAAGGTATAAATGTTGGTTCTGGATAATCATTTTATTTTGTCATTTAAGATTAAGTTTTTAATATTTGATATGTCATCTATGATGGTTTTAATGTTCCCATTTCATCTGTTCAGATCATGAATACAAATTTCAACACCTTAGCCTCTGATAAGGCCCCTTCCCCTTCTAATAAGTCCACAGTCTCAAAGCTTTATCTATGCAAGGCATTCTCAGCAGTATCCCAATTGGCAATGTTAATGATGGAATTTATTTTATTCTCAATTTAAAGGAAGAAAGGTTGTAAAATGTAAAAAGGTTGTAAAATTGGAAATACGAATGGGTTTTATTTCTAGAGGCTTTAGTAGCAATAGTAAACAAAGAGCGTAAGGTCAAAGGATTTAGACCTACCCGAAAATCAAAACGACAATTGACACTAGTTGACTTGATTTCTTCGTACCGTTTTCGTTCCTGTTGTGTTGAGTGAACTTGTCAAAATATCTAGAGATATCAGTTTCATCGGATCTGAAATCCACCAATGGTAACAATACAATCGATACTTATGTGTATGAGAATGTATATGAAATATATATTTGTACAATTGATACTGCACCTCGAAAATGTAACACTCTTTTTATTATTTTTTATCTATTTTTTATCGTGTAAGGATTTGATACTAAACCAGAAAGATGACACTTTAAGAGGCTTTTCCTAAAAAACTATCCAGATGTCCAAAAATTGCGACAGCATAATTTAAAAAAATATCTCAACAACACGAACACAAACCAACTTTTTATAGACATATTTTGGCATGATTTAGCAGTATATCTAGCAGGACTTTCCAAATCAATATTTTGCTTATTCTTTTCCCAGACAATGATCGATAATGATGACAGACGTTTCAGATCATGTTAGGAAACAAGACCAGGCAAAGAAATTTTAATCAAATCATTCACTATTTTTCTGTAAGTAAAATTTATTATACACCACTACTTACAAAATAGTACATAAGTATTAGCTTAAAAATGTTAAAATCGCAGATACTGTTCTAATGTTCTGTTTTCAGTTGAAGGACCTTTACGCAGGCAATGACCTTTAATACCAAGTAGTCTTCTAGAGGTCTTTGGCATTTTAAAGTAAAGGTAGAACGATTTATTTAAGTAAGTTATATTATGTGGACTATTTTTTCATGAATTTTTGGTTATTTTTTCTGTCTTGGTTTTTAATATTTTAATATATTTTTTACGACCGTCCGTGACCTTCGCGGCATGCCAATTGTTTATACGTTACGACCTATCAATGTGCTAAAGGCAATGTTCATAACTTATCGTCTAAATGGCATCCCACATTAGAAATGTCTAATATTTTCTGGTTCTACAAATCACTAGACTTACCTTTGATCTGTTCAGTTAGAGATTCGAACATGAAGATCTTGAAGGTGAAGAGGAGATTGGTGCTTGCCTAAACTGTTACCCAGTTTTTTTTGTTAAAACATGTATTTTTAGTAAGTACGTGATAAACTTGACAAACGTGTTTGCTCATGTGAGTCAGTTAACAGTATGGGGAATTCCTGATATATCGTAATGACTACCCGACTATCATAGAAAAGTGATCTTCAAATGGAGTGAAATATATTAACCTATGAATTTGTTATTTCTATTAGGTATTGAAAAAAACTTTGTTCTAAAGGGATAGCTCCTAATAATTCAGAGATCAAGTTACCATGTTACGTATTGCTACGAGCGCTCTGATTGATTGGAAGGCTATCATGAATTTTTTATTTTAAAATAATAATTTTGATTAATTTGGTGACCTCTGTCTTTTTTTTTTTCTTTTTTTTTTTCTTTTTTCCCCCCGGCTAATTAAAATCAGGAGGTAGTCAAACCTAGGTTATCAAGTTTTTCGCATCCAAATTTTGGTCCAAGCTTAAGGAGCGATTACACGGAGCAATTCTTTCTGCCGTTTGTCGCATGAAGCATTGCAGCGTATAACCTACAGCACAATTTGAAAAATTTTGTGAGACAATTTGAAGCAATCGTTGCCAAAAGTAGAATTCGTATAACCTACAGCACAATTTGAAAAATTTTGTGAGACAATTTGAAGCAATCGTTGCCAAAAGTAGAATTCGTTTCTACTTTTGGCAACGATTGCGTCTCCGTTCATTAGTCACTATGACTCACAATGCATTTTGGTCTTGGAATGCACTATACAGTATTCAGTATTCAACCTTTTTTGAAATTTATTCATTTATATATAATATTTGAGGGACTACGCACGCTTTGATCGGTCAAAACTATTGAAAAACCATGTTTACATCAGAGAACCGAGAAACCCTCTGCTTAAACGTTTTTTTTTTTAATTTTATAAGAGCAATATAAAACGTCCGCTAGTCTCTACATACTGGGATATACCTACACTATTCGAGCTGTAGAGCACTCGAGAAGTCAAAATAAGCCATTCCGAGGTTGAGGAAAAACTGGGTCGAGTTGCCATTACGGGACTGTTTTGGGGGACTCATTTTCAAACATTCCCACAATGCATTGCAATGCCAACTCGACCAAGTTTTTTTCTAAACCTCGTAATGTCTATTCAGTTCCAAACCCCGA